CACTTACTAATGATTTGTTCAAGAAGCAAACTGAATGACATGAAGAAATTCTGCTAAAATGAAAAGGCAGGGTAATAAACAGCATGGCAGGCAGATGCTAAGTACTAGAGTCCATAGAAACAGAGTCCCCCCAACACAGGCTGAACAAGTATTGGTTTGTAGTAAAGGGCACACTGGTAGAGGAGGCAAACACGTGCCTTTTAGAATAGAGACCCTACCAACAAAAGCACTCTTTGTCAAGGCCTAGTTTATGGAGACTTTGACCACCCCTCACCCTGAAACATGACACAGGAGCATTCAGGGGGAGGTTGCCAAACCAAGGAAACAAATATCATGTCTGCAGGACATGCAACTTATAGCCAGCCAGTGAACATTTAAGCAGAAAGAAGAATATTCCAACCAAACACATGGTGAATTCTGTAAGTGCACAATGAGTCAGAGTTTCTTCACTAGAATACGACAGCATGTGAGCACATGAAGATACCACATACGGTTGTTAAGAAGTTCTGATGTTTCAGAGGTTCACAGGTCTGTTCATTTTATCAGTTGTTTAGCTTTGTTGCATATTGAGCAAATTTTGTGATTCAAATATAAAATTTCACTGACTTTATCAAAACTACTGAAGTTAACTATTCAATTGGATTTCCGTCAAAGTTCAAGATCCTTTCAGAATTTGCGCTACAACTTTTAAATCAAATAAGCTAAAATTATTTTCTTGTGTTTTTTTTTTTTTAATCAAAGGGAAAATCTCAGATCAATGTTGTTAATGCTTTTGCCGTCATTGTGGTGGATATCAATTTCCATCCACTGCCCTCTTCCCTCCTGACTACTTTTTGAAGATAAAGTCATTATCCACGATGATAAATCTCATCATCAAAACACGTTAATTGAATCAGTGTGTAGACTGAGTCTGGACCTGGATGAACAATCGCTATAAACAATCGAAACATGCACAAACAAAGCACACACTTCTGAGCGTGCAAGGATCCTTGAGGAGCAAACAGGGGCTGTCTTAGGGGTAAAAGGATCCCCCTCCCCCCTTCCTACACACTCAGCACCTGAGCTGTCCAGATATCCCCTCATTTTGCCTTTAAATCCTAGTCAATATTACAGCTTGATGCTGATTTTTATTTGGCCCAGAGCCAGAGGAAGGTCTTTGTGAGCAACTAGACCACCAGCTCCTCGGGGAAAAAGCCAGACAGACCCGAGACCTGTTTGATTCAAAGCCAACTAAGCCTCCAGAGACTATCGCTCGTAGCACCAAATCCAATGAAATGATATGTGAGACACAAAGAGTTGGGAGAAAATAAAAAGGGAGAAAACTAGAGCACATCCGAAGATCATCCTTTGTGTCACAGACTGCAACATTAAAATAGGGCAGAATCGCTATA